AGGGGTTAGCGTTTAGGGGTTTAGGGTTTAGGGTTTAGGGTTTAGGGTTTAGGGGTTTGGGTTTAGGGGTTTAGGGTTTAGGGTTTTAGGGTTTAGGGTTTAGGGTTTAGGGGTTTAGAGTTTAGGGTTAGGGGGCCCCTATCATCCAACTGACACGGTGACAACCCTCTCGCAAGACCTTATATAGAACCTTAACGATTTCAAGAGGGTTTTGGGGTGCCTTATGCGTTACGTAGATTAGCGAGTATAAGGGAACGATATTGGAAAACTTGCGGGCTTCTACCCTAAAGCCTGAACCCTGGATACCTATACCCTAAAGCCGTAACCCTAAATCCTATACCCTAAACCCTGAACCCGATACCCTAAACCCAGGCCTCAAAGGAATGCCCCCGAAGCCGGAAAGCGGCCAGAGACCCAAAAATTCTTTAATTCAGGACTATGCTTTAAATCTTAATGAGGATGTACTAAGGTATGTTCCTGAATTAAGTGTCGTTATCAAACGATTTCTTTATCTGGCAAATACTACTAATGAAACTATTTTCGTAATAATAACGATCATAGTAATTATACAGGAATAGGCTTTCGGAATAGGTAATAATAATGATCTAATAATAATGGAGTTAATAATTCTCATGGCGATAATAATAATAATAATGGTAACAATGATAATAATGGTGATAATAATACTAAAAATAGCAATAGTACTAGTAATAACAGAGATAACAATCATGATAGTATTAAGAGTAATAATAATAGCAATAATAGCAATAATAAAAATCAGAAAAAACGGAATCACTAATGTTGGTAATTTTGATAATAATGGTAATACGGTTGATGGACAAAATCCTGCATGACCTTATATACCTAAACTATGGGATTTATGGTACTCTACTATACTTGGGTCATGCAGAATTTTGTCCATCAACAGTGAGGATAGTAATAGCAGCAAAAATAACCGTTGGCAGCCCTGGGTCGCCCCACGGGCGCCTTGGGCGCCTTCGGTGCTGTGAGCTCCCCCTGCGTTGGGCTACTGGGAGGTTCATGGGTAGTTACAAGTGGGGTTATAAGTCCCCGAATACGGGTTGTAAGTATGGGTTAAGGTTTAGGGTTTGAGAAGGGCTTCACCGAGTTTGGGGTTGGGTGAACCCTAAACCCCCAAACCCCCAAACCCTCTAAACCCCTAAACCCTCTAAACCCCCTAAACCCCTAAAACCTCTAAACCCCCAAGCCCTCTAAACCCCTAAACCCTCTGAGCACCTAAACCCTCCAAACCCCTAAGCCCTCTAAATCCCTAGACCCTCTAAACCCCTACACCCCAAACCCTCTAAACCCCTAAACCCTAAAACCCTACACCCCTAGGGCCACCAGGCTTTTGGGGCGTGTTTGGGGTTGGGAAAGGTCAGGCTTTCCCTAGGAGGAAGTTTAGGGATTAGGGAAGTTTAGGGATTCTTTCGGGTTTAGGTGTTTCGGGTTTAGGGGTTAGGCTTTTTAGCGATTCTTTAGGGTTTAGGGTTTAGGGTTTTTAGGGGTTGTTTAGGGTTTAGGTGTTTGGGTTTAGGGTTTTTAGGGGTTGTTTAGGGTTTGGGTTTATAGGGTTTGGGGTTGAGGGTTGAAGGCAGGGTTTAGGAAGTCCCAGCTAGAGATTGGGACCCCATGTCGGGCAGCTGGTTCAACATCGGTTGACCTCGTGGAACTTCCATGCTGCCCATATATATATATATATATGCTACCATATATACATAATATCTATATATATATATATATATGTATAGGCTTGTGGCTTTCAGATCAACAGGCTTGGGGGTTTGTTTATGGTTGCAAAATCAGAACTGTCACGGCGCGCGGAAGGAATTGCTGAGCGGCAACTCATGGCATGTTGAGGGGGCGGATCCTGGTGCATAGAAGTGTCTCTATTTGAAGGAAACTACAGGTGGGGAGTTTAGGGTATATAGGGCTTCTATGAGGCTTCCAAAAGGTATATAGACGTTCTATAAGGCTCCTATAACGGTAACTCCCCACCTGAAAATGTCCTAGACATAGAAGTGTCTCTATCAGTGTAGGATGTTCTTCAGCGACTGGTTCCAGGAAGCTTAAAAAGCCTAGCTTCGAATTCACAGAAGGCTTCGCCGGGAAGGAACCAATATCCCGAATCCAAAGCCTAAGAAAACTATCCATCCTAAACCTAAACCCTCAACCCTAATACCAAAATACCTTGATATCCTACACCCTCACCCCTAATCCCCTGATACACTTGTACCCTTAACCCTCAACCCTAATCCCAAAAAAATCTTGATACCCTAAACCTGCAACCCTACTTCCCTACTTCCCTACTACACTAACACCCTCAACCCTCAACCCTCATTCCAAAATATCCTGATGCCCAAAACCCACAAACCCTCAACTCTAATTGCCCGATGCACTGATACCCTAAATCCTCAACCCTCATTCCTTAAAGCCCTTATATCCTAGACGCAACCCTACTTCCCGAATACCTTGCTACCCTGAACCCTCAACCCTAATGCCCTAATACCCTGATACCCTAAACCCTCAACGCTAATTCTCTAATACCTTGCTACCCTGAACCCTAAACCCTCAACCCTACATCCCAAACCCTAAACCCTAAACTCTGCATCCCAGACCCCTAAACCCTAAACCCAAACCGATCCTAGACCCTGGCTCTCTTCCTTTCTCTCACAGCTCGACTCATCGGCTTGCTGTCGTCAGCTCTCATGCCTCAGGCGAGGGTAAATTTAATGTAGGTCCCAAAAAATACTTAGAATAAGGCGTTGAAGCCCATTATACTATAATCATAATAAGGAACCTAAGGAATAACATAGGTATTTGTTTGAGCTTCTGTAGGACGCCCCAAGTGCCCTTTACTGGAGCCCTTATGGTCCTTAAATAGTGGTATTTGCGGTATTTTACTTGGAGGGTCGGGAGACTTAGTAAGTAGGTAGTAAGTAGACTTATAAGTACCCTGGAAGGGACCCTAATTGGGGTTATAGTACTTATAAGTCTATAAAAAAACCATTTACTAAGTCCCTCGACCCTCCAAGTAAGGGTAGCTGAGGGGTTCAGGTAGGTTTAGGGTTGAGGGTTTTGGGTCTGGGGCTCCGGGGTTATAGTTTGGGGGGTAAGGCTAGGGTTTAAGGTTTAGGGTTTAGGGTTTAGGGTTTAGGGGTCTGATATATGCGAATGACAACACAAAGAAAACCCTAGCATAGATTGTCAAGAAAGAGAAGGATCCTTCTTAGAAGGGCCCCAACATGCGGTCCGCTCCCTAAACCGTAAACCCTAGAAGGACCCCTCAAAACGGTACCCCTGTAACTTGAAAAACATCTCTTGCAGAGTTGAACCATGGGAAGCAGCCGAAGATGATATGGGGGTCTGAATAATCGGCAATGGCATCCCCCTGTAGTCCTTGTCAAAAACTACGAAAATCCCTATAGTCTCCCTTGTAGTTCTTTTTTTGGTTTAACAAATTATATACTAAAGATTTTCTAAGGTATCACCGAAAAGGAACTACAATGGAGACTAGAGGTCTACACCAAAACCCTGCTCACATTGTTAAGGCGCCTTCCTCAGAATCCTCGTTGGCTAAATATGGAGCCTCGGCAAAGGAGACGGGTACTATAGAGGCCCAAAATAGTCAGAACAGGGCTTTTGGGGTTAATTCTACCATAACTATAAACAAGGAACCCCACAACCCTATTCTAATTATTAAGGCCCGTGTCGGTAGCATTTCCACACAACCTGTCGACATCTGAAGGAAAGGGGCGAACTTGGCTGACCTCTGAACCCCTCCTAAAGGTTAAACTTTTAGCTCCCTTATTGTAGTTCATATAGAAGCCCAAAGAGTTAAAGTCCTAAGAGCCAACCACAAGAACGCCAAGCGAAGCCGCACGAAATGTTGGACCATCAAGCCAAGTCGCCCGGCAGGTACTCAGCTGCCCAGTGCTGCTGAAAGTCCTGCATTAGCGTTTACTGAACCCTAAACCCTAAACCGTCCATCCCTCTTAAGGGTACCTATAAGTTACCATAGATGGGGTCCCCTTTAAGGGGTTTAGAGCCGATCTCCGCCCCAACCCCCGCTCAAAAGCTTGTTTGTCAGCGTATGATATCGGGGCCTGAATCATTTAAAATATCGTCAGGACAGGGACGATACTGTAGGGGCCTAAATAATTACCTATACTACTTTGGAGGTTCAACATTAGAACTATAGTATAATGGGCCCCAAAACCCTATTCTACCTAGTAAGGACCTATAATTATGGGGATATACTGGGCCCCAAAACCCTATTCTAATTCGTAAGGCACCTATAGTTATGGGAATATTACCACACCCTAAACCCTAAACCCTAAACCCTAAACCCTAAACCCACAAATTCTTCTGATGTTCATCTTAAAGCCACCGCTGAGGAAAGCCATCCTGGCCCTTTTGAACCCGGCCAGGGCTGCTCTTGAGGGTTTAGGGCTTAGGGTATAGGATTATAGGGTTTTCTTAAGGAGTGTTGGGGGTTTAGGGTTTAGGGTTTAGGGGTTTAGGGTTTCGGGCTTCTAGGGTTTCCTTAAGGAGGAAATGACACCTAAAAAGGTTTAAGGTTCAAAGACCATGTAGGGATTCATAGTTAGTTTCAGGGTATAGGGCCCCTACTTTCAAGTTTCCATCCGGTCCTGAAGGTTAGAGTTCGGGGTTTTGGGCGTTTAAGGTCTCAGTAGTGCTTAGGGCTCAGGGTTTCGGGTTTGAGGGATTCATTCTAGGACATTTTCAGGTGGGTAGTTACCGTTATAGGAGCCTTATAGAAGGTCCATATACCTTATAGAAGCCTTATAGAAGCCCTATATACCCTAAACTCCCCACCTGTAGTTTCCTTTAATTCATCACTGACTGAGCCCGGACTCACGTAATGAGTATGGTTCTGAGTCCTGAGGATTGACATCTTCACTCGAGCAGGTGGCCTTAAGGAGCACGGCTCGCTTCTTCCAGGAATCTTGGAGCTTGCTGGTCGAACTTGAGACCATGGCCCCCTAACCCCTAACCCCTAAACCCTAAACTGAAAAACCCTAAACCCTAAACCCTAACCCCTAAACCCTAACCCCTAACCCCTAAACCCTAAACCCTAAACCCTAAACCCTAAACTGAAAAAGCCATGGCTGCTTCCGAGTGTGGTGTGGAAGGATCGCCTTCGCGTGCTCCACAAGGCGAGACAACATCCAGGTCTCTAGGGCGATGTGAGGGTTTCCGAAAATTGGGGACCTTAATATGGTACCCTAAATAATAGGATCCCTATTGTAAGGACCCCAAAATAAGGTACCCCTAATTTTCTGAAACTCCCATGTTTGGTTTAATGTAGGGCCCTGAAAAAATTACCATTACTATGTCGGGGTTCGTTATTATAACTATACTATAATGGGCCCCGGAACCCTATTCTGATAAAAAAACAGGCCCTACATTACCCTGGCACACCTTCCAAGGGAGTGGCCGGTGAAATGAAACTCGTAGAGTATCTCTCGTATGACTTCTATTGGGAGTTTCCGAAAATAGGGGGTACCTTATTTTGGGGGTGCTGATAATAAGGGTCCGACTATTTAGGGTACTATATTAGGGTCCCCTTTTTTCGGAAACTCCCGTATGCGACGAATAACATGAAGAAGACGAAAACGCACTATGCACATCGAGTAGCTATCCATGAACCACCTCTGATCGATTTTCTAATGCCTCTGTTAGGTATACACTTGCTGAACGGCTATACCATGCTAAACCCTAAACCCTGAAACCCAAAGCCTTAATCCCTACAGCCGTAAACCCATAAACCCTTAAGCCCAAACACTCAGCAGTCCCGAAGGTAGCGCTGCCGCTTGGCACTTGGGCGCTGATAGCACCACTCAGCACCAGTGTCAGCGACAACCTGGCGAAAGGGGGGGGGGGTGAACATCCTAATATGCGACACACTATCCCCCATTTCTACATATTAGCCTATATATATATATATGTATATATATATATATATATATATATGTGTAAACATGTGTGTACATTATATATATATATATGCATGCACACATGCACTTTAGAATGATAGGTGTAGGTATATGCACAAAGCCTCACTTCTCAAGACCTGACCAAGAACTCCCAAGTCGAAGGCCCTTAGTCCCCGTTTAGGGTTTGGGGTTTGGGGT